CAACAATTGAAATGAAACCAGGCGAGAAAGGCATGGCTTATATCAGCCGCTGCCGCGAACTGCGCGACAAGCTTCTTCGATGCGGAGGGTCGATTTCAGAAGACGCCTTTGTCACGGTGGTCATCGGCGGTCTCGGCCCCCACTGGCGCTCCACTCGCGCCATATTACGAGCACACGGGAGGATTTCCGAAGCGGCACTTTGCGCCAAAATCCATGCCGAGCAGCAGGACATGGACCTGCAAGAAGAAAGACACAAGAAGAAAACATTAGCACCGGAGTTTGTGTTTCACACTCAGCGACGATACAACAACAACAACAATCGACAACAGCAACAAGTGAAGACGGTACCTCCTTTCTGCCACATCCGCAAGACTTTGGGACACCCTCGCACGCACTGCCCGTCTCGTCAGACAACACCACAGCGACAACTCCGGCCTTCAAGCTCCCAAGTTGCCTCAACACAAGCAAATTCGACGACCTCAATCCAAGCTTCAACGACTCCAACAGGACAATCTACACAAGGAGCAAGAAACATTGTCAATTGCATGGTGAAGATAACTGATTCGTGCACAACCAAATCACCACCTCACTACTCACCGGAAGAAGAGCTCGACAACAGGACGCCTCGCCGCGAGTCACTCCAACCGAATCCGACGTACGCCGCCATCGCTCAAAGCGAACCGTCCGGGCAAGACACCTGGTTTCTGGACAGTTGCTGCGGACAACATATGTGCTCCTCGGGCCGCTTTGTTCAACGCGAACATCGACTCCAGCGAGAAGTAGTCATCACGGTCGCCAACAACCAGAACCTGCGCACACGACGACAAGGAGTAGTTCAACTTCAATCAAGAGAGACAAACGTCATACTGCACATGTCAAAGGTACTCATCGCAGAAGGACTCGGTTATAACTTACTGAGTGTCAGCCAGCTGATGGCGAAAGGCATCCACTTGGAAGCCGATAGCACCACCCAGGAGTTTAAACTTTACCACGGGAAGGGCGGCCTCTACATCGGAAGAGCAGTTTTGAAGAACAACGTCTTCGTCCTCGATTTCGTCCCCGACCTTGGCACTGCAGATAGCGACGCCATCGTCAACTTCGCCGATTGGACACATCCCCCGGATCTCGATCCCGACTTCAGCCCGAGAGGTTTCTGGTACTCGCACACCATCCCTGAAGCAGAACGAACACGAGCGTTAGCAACAATTCAACAAACGGCAGCAGCAGAGACAACATCGGCAGCAGCAGAAACAACATCGGCAGCAGCAGAGACAACATCGACAGCAGCAGGACCAACGACACCAGTAATCGTCCACGAAGCACCACCAACACCCGCACAGCAACTGAACCCGACTCAACGAGAAGTCCACAGAAGCCCCAATGTCGTTGCCAGCTTCTACTCCAACTCCGACGCGTATCAACGCTCACCCGGACATCGCGCTCCTGAAGACATCTGGCACGCACGCACAGGACATCCAAGCAACACAGTATTAAATAACACAATACGAGCAGGAGTCCTCGACAAAGATTCGCTACTACTACCCGACGGCAGAGAACTTCAACGGGCACGAGGAACTTGTCTCATCTGACCCGAAGCCGACTTACCCCATCGACCGTTTTCTTCTCACCACAACCCGAGCGCACCTGCATACGCACCACTTGAGAAAGTATACAGCGACATCCTCTTCAATCAAGAACCAGGACAAGTCACCTACAATTACACAATAACCTTCATCGACGCCGCCACTCGATACGTCTGGCATCGAAACCTACCCAGCCGCGACATGGCACTCGCAGCGTTCGCCGCTTGGCTACCGGTAGCAGAGAGGGAGTCAGGAACACAGCTGAAAAGCTTCCAGTCAGACGGAGGAGGAGAATACACCTCTAAGCGCTTCAAGCAGTACCTGACGGAAAGGGGAATCAAGCAACTTCTCTCCCTTCCCTACGCCCATCAGCAGCAAGGTGTTGCAGAAAGAATGAACAGGACTCTGCAGAACAGCATGCGCAAACTGCTACATGGCATGCGGCTACCCAACCACCAGTGGCCTGCAGCAATGGACCATGCTGTCATGCTGCACAACTTGCTGTCGTCGTCGTCACTCCCGAACAACGCATCACCGCATCTGCTGTGGACAGGAAAGCAGGGCAGCACAAGAATGTTACGAGTTTTCGGATGCATGGTGCAGTACCGACCCCCAGAAGCACGAGCGGGAAGATTTTCACAACGGGCACAGTGGGGACTACACCTCGGCATCGAGAAAAATTACAACGCGTGGAAAATTTTCGATGTCCACTCAAAGGAAACAGTAGCAGCACGTGATGTGATCTTCTACGAGCGACTCACCCTTCAAACGTACCTCGCCAACTTGCACGAGAATCAAGACCCCACAGGTGGTTTTCGTGGTGACCGAGCCTTTGCCTCAGCAGCGGACGAAGCAGACTGGGATGAACAGAACGTCGACAACGCATCGGAAGAAACCGGACCTCTCCCGTACTACTCCGTCGACGTGCCCATGGACGAAGACAATCCTCGCGACAGTGCCAACGCCGAAGTCTTCTATCACTTCGCCGACAACGGTTACGTAACACCTACGACAGTCAACACAAACGAAGCAGAACGAATAGGGCCAAATTTCATACCCAATCCAGAAGCGGGAGACGAAGCAGCTTATCCCGAGGATCCAACACTCCCCCGATACTCACAGACTGGACTGCAAATCCTCGGCCTCGTCACCGCAGTCCACGGCAACGCACTTCCTAAGGAGCCTGCGACGGTTCAGCAGGCTCTGGGGGGGGAACACAGGGAGAAATGGCGCGAAGCCATGGACAGAGAGTTAAAGGCACTAGAGGAACGCAACACTTGGAAGGTCGTTCCCGCAAACGTGGCAAGGAACAAGACCATTCTCACCGGGAAATGGGTCTTCCGCATCAAAACGAAAGCAGACGGCACAATCGAGAAGTTCAAAGCACGCTGGGTCGTGCGTGGATTCGACCAAGAGCAAGGAGGAGACTTCACCGAGACATTCGCCCCAGTTAGTCGACATACCTCTCTTCGAATTCTTCTTGCCGTTGCCGCCATGAAGAAGAAGAAACTGCGACAAATCGATGTCGCCAACGCATTTCTCTACGCACCCGTCGACGCCGAAATCTTCGTCGAACTCCCACACGGTACCCACGGAAACCCCAATCAGGTCTGCCAGCTACTGAAATCGCTCTACGGAATCAAACAAGCCCCGCGGCTGTGGCAACAGCACCTACACACCCGACTCACTCGCATCGGATTCCGCCAACTGCCGCACGACCAAGGAATGTATCGATTCACTAAAGACGCCGATTACATCCTACTGATCGTCTACGTCGACGACCTACTCTACATCGGCTCCACCGACGACATCATCACCTGGTTCGAAGGGGAGCTGCAGAAGGACCTCACGCTTACGGTTTCTTCTACCGTCACCCAGTACCTCGGGCTCAACATCTGCGAAGAAGAAAATGCTATCTACTTAAGCGCCGAGAAATACGCCGACACTATCTCCAAGCGCTTCTCGCTCACACCTACCGCTATCGCCACGCCATATCGCTACACGGCAGGAAGTAACAAAGGAAATTCCGCTCCACTCAAGGCTGCCGGAATACGAGACTACCAGAGGAAACTGGGCTGCCTCCTCTTCGCAGCCGTCACCTGCCGCCCGGATCTATCTTACTCCGCAAGCCAACTCGCTACCTACCTCAAGAAACCCGAAGCAGAGCACCTAGCGGAGCTCGATCGCGCACTACACTACTTCGTGAGCACTCCGACGATCGGCCTGACTTACTACAAAAACGAAACTACGACCACGAAACTAATCGGCTACGTCGATGCCGATCATGCCGGCGATTCCGACAATAGATGCTCTCGCACTGGCTACGTCTATCGTCTCGAGCCTATCGGACCTATCTCCTGGCAGTCGAGCAAGCAGGAACTAATCGCTCTCTCTTCAGCTGAAGCAGAATATATCGCCCTCTGCTCAGCCACCAAGGAAGGACTCTACCTTCGCGAGCTGCTGGAAGAAGCAAGGTTAGCCGAGTTACCCAACTTCACCCTATTCTGCGACAACCAATCTGCAATTCGCATCGCCAACAAAAGCGGATTCGCGAACAGAACGAAGCATATCGCTCTGCGATACTTCTTCGTGAAAGACGAGATCGAGAAAGGGAAACTCGAATTATCCTACTGTCCCACGTCCGAGATGGCAGCCGATTACTTGACCAAGAAACTCGGAAAACAGAAGTTCGAGTACTGCATGCTGCTGACTGGACAAGGCCACGTCACCATTAACGACACTCCAGAAGCGAAGGGGAGTGTTGAGAACAATAAGTCTTAAAGCGCCTCTGTCGTGTCGAAACTCAGGACACAAGCGAAGCAGTCCAAATCGAAGCATCGCGAGTCAACCCTCGGAGGTTAGGGTAACCGCCTGGAGGTTACGCGAAGGTCAAAAGTCAGCGACCTTTGACTTGACAAATACAGCGCGACAGCAAGGACACACAACCGACTCGACATTGAGCAGTTGCCCGAGTCGCACTGTATCGAATCGCAACAGCAAAACAGTTTAATTATATCTATTCGTATTCCTTGTACTCTTATATAAAGCCTTGTATTTGCTTGTTTTAATTAACTTACTTTGCCCTCACATACTAGCGCAAGGTGGTTCAAGGACTTTTTCATTCAAACGCTTCCGCTATTACAATCCTACTTAGACTTTAACTCTACAAAGATCCTAGGGCATCTCAGCCCAACACCGTACAACAAAACATTTGTAAACAAGTTAGTAGCAGACTCTTACCGTAGTAGTATTAGAAGTTCAAGAAATAAATTAATGAGCAAAACGGAGAAAGCATCCGATCTGGCCCTAGTAGAACTCTGAAAGGAGAACATATTTTTGAAGAATCCCTGCCCCAGTTCTTCCCATCCCTGGCAATCCTGTGAGGCAGAGAGTCAGATTAAGGCAGGCAGGAGGGGGTCAGGGCAGGGGGGAGGCGGCGGGCCAGTTGACGCACTGCCACGTGTAGCCAGTGGAGAGGGAGTAGGAGCAGCGGCGGGGGCTCTCATCCCAGCATGACGACGGCGCGGTGCAGTTGAACCCACACGGGATGCGCTTGCAGCAGGTGCAGGCGTTGTAGCAGTTCTTGTAGTTGGTGGCCTGCACAGCGGACGTGCCCCCCATGGCGAGCTTGAAGTCCTGGCACACGTTCTCACACGTCGTCTTCACATACGCACAGCACTTGCCCACCCCGTCGCCCAGCAGCTGCGTGCAGTCGGTGCTGGGCGGCGGCCACGTGGGGTAGGGGCAGATGGCCTGGGTGCACCCGGAGCTGTTGGCGGGCGCGGAGCCAGCGCGGCCCATGCAGGCGGCGTTGCAGCCGGTGCAGATGTCGGAGACGAGCACAGGCGTGGCGTAGTTGCAGACGGCGTCGCAGTACGACGGGTACGTCACGTAGTCCGACCCGCACACCGGCAGCGACGTCGCACACCCGCAGTCGATGGCGCCCACGCGCACGTTGCAGGGGATGATGAGCGTGGAGTTGACGAGCAGCACCGCGGTTTCGAGGATGTTGTTGTACGCTGCTATGGCCGCGGGTGACACCGACGTGGGCATGCAGCGGTTGATGTAGCGCGAGGAGATGAGGGCGAGCGTGTCGCCGAGTTTCACGGTGTAGAGCGAGAAGGAGGAGTTGGTGGAGGCGATGAGCGATGGCAGGATGGGCGAGTTGATGCACACCTTCTGCCCCACCTGCAGGTACGGCGACTGGCACTGTGATACAGGCGAGGGGAAAGGGGCAGGCAAGCAAGCCGGGTGTCAGGAAAGATGGTGGGGAGGAGCGGGAGGCAGAGGAAGCGCATGACATGACATGAGGCACAGCGATGGCATGGCACACGGCGGTGAACCAACCGGGGTTGCGGTGGCTCACCCGGATGCCGGGGTTGATGGCGAGGAAGGTGGACTCGGTGAGGTTGGCGGCGTTCCAGATGTTGGGGCAGTTGTCTCCCTGCAGCACCGCATACCATGCCGTGCAGTTCACTGCCGTCTGCCGCACACAGGGGGAGGAGGGGGATGGGGAGGGAGGAAGCAAGGGGGTGGATGGCAGTGAGACAGCAGCCCTGCAGCACCGTAGTCTGGCATGGGAAGGAGATGGGGCAGAGGAGCAGCAGGGGCAAGGCGGTGAGGTAGAGCTGTACAGCCGTGCTGTGTGTGGCTACCCGTGGGTGCAGTGCAGCTCAGCAAGGGCAGGGGGGAGCGGAGAGCAGGCCGTGAGGGGTCCGATCAAGAAGAATGGCATTTGTCAAGGAATGGGGCAGCGAAAGAGGATAGGCAGAGAACCAGCAGATGCAGCAGAAGTAGCGGAACCTGCAACACCAGCAGGCAGCAGCAATAGAGGCAGCACAAGAAGCAGCACCAGCATGGGGACGGGCACTGGCAAATGCATGCGCACAAACAGCAGGTTGCAGAGGCGAGGCAGCAGGCACGGACCTTGTCAGACTTGGCGGCCACACAGAGGTACGTGCCCGCGTCGATGTCACCCCGGCTGCAGTCCAGCGCCGGATTGAGCCTGGCGGGCCACACGCAGAGGCACGGCAAGAGCTTGGGTTGGGTGTGATGGTCAGGGATTGCAGCGCAGAAGAATCCACTTTGCCGTGCACGTAGTGTGAACTAGCATTGCTTGGCACGGCGATGAGAGGAGCGGGTGAGGGCAGAGGAGCGGGTGAGGGCAGAGGAGCGGGTGAGGGCAGAGGAGCGGGTGAGAGCAGAGGAGCGGGTGAGGGCAGAGGAGCGGGTGAGGGCAGAGGAGCGGGTGAGGGCAGAGGAGCGGGTGAGGGCAGAGGAGCGGGTGAGGGCAGAGGAGCGGGTGAGGGCAGAGGAGCGGGTGAGGGCAGAGGAGCGGGTGAGGGCAGAGGAGCGGGTGAGGGCAGAGGAGTGGGTGAGAGCACTCACGACTTGAAGGTGGGGAGGTCGAGGGAGTACTTGGAGGCCACGGCACTGCACGTGTCACCCACCACTGACACGTACGTCTGCCCGCACTGCGCCACCGTCGCATTCGCCGCGGACAGCGGCGCGGCAGCGGCGCACACCTGCTGCGAGGGCAGCAGCGAGGGGCGGTCGGTCGTGCAGAGCAGCGGGTTAGCCTGGCGGAAGGCGGCGTCGCTGCCGTTGAAGAGCGCGGCGGTGAGCGAGGCGCACGTGTCGTTGGCGCACACCATGTAGGTGGCCGTGCACACGATGGTGGACGGCGCGGAGGCGTTGGAGAGCGAGAGCACGAAGCCCGGCGGGATGTACCTCAGCGAGCAGTTGAGGAACGGGTTCAGCGCCGCCAGCACCGCCACACTGCTGTTGTACGCCGCTGCTATGCCCTGTGCCAGGGAGAGGAATGGAGGGAGAGGGGAAGGGGGGCAGGGATGACACAAGATGAGAATGTGATGGGGAGGCGATTGAGGCACGCGAGCCGCGGCACGGCTGACAGTGGCGGTGTTGAAGAGGGCAACGAGAGTGCACGAGCGAGCTGGCAAGAGAGCACACGGGGCACTCACAGCACAGCACACGGGGCACTCACAGCACAGCACACGGGGCACTCACAGCACAGCACACGGGGCACTCACAGCACAGCACACGGGGCACTCACAGCACAGCACACGGGGCACTCACAGCACAGCACACGGGGCACTCACAGCACAGCACACGGGGCACTCACAGCACAGCACACGGGGCACTCACAGCACAGCACACGGGGCACTCACAGCACAGCACACGGGGCACTCACAGCACAGCACACGGGGCACTCACAGCACAGCACACGGGGCACTCACAGCACAGCACACGGGGCACTCACAGCACAGCACACGGGGCACTCACAGCACAGCACACGTTGCACTCACAGCACACGTGGCACTCACAGAGCACGTTGCACTCGCAGCACACGTGGCACTCACAGAGCACGTGTCCCCTGGCACAGTGGTGTAGGTGAGGGATGACGTGTTGCCGCCCGCCACGCCCACACACGTCAGCGACCCGTCCGTCTCCGTGCCGATGGCGTAGCCCTGCGAGGGGGAAGGTGGGGGGAACAGGCAACTTTGTATACGCATGAGAATGAGCAGGCGGGATGACAGGCAGAGAGCAGGGCGGCGAGGAGAGGCGAGGACGGGCAGTGACAGATGCAAGTGGGGCAGGCGCACTCACAGCGGGGCACAAGGGGGCGCACTCACAGCGGGGCACAAGGGGGCGCACTCACAGCGGGGCACAAGGGGGCGCACTCACAGCGGGGCACTGGCAGGTGTAGGCGCCGTTGCCGGTGTTGTTACACGTGCCGGCGCCGCAGGGGTTGATGTTGGTGGAGTTGCAGGGGGAGCGCGAGACGCACTTGCTGGTGGGCACGCCCAGCACCTCCACCATGCCCTCCGGCCCGCTACAGTCGCACCGCGCCACGTTGTTGCGCGTGTAGCACTCGCCCGCGCCGCACGGGTTGATGAGCAGCTGGCAGGCGTCGGAGGTGACGGGCAGCGGCTTGGTCCACCAGCGGCCGTCGCTGTCGTCGCGCTGCTTGTCGCTGAACCGCACCGGCTGCGGGCCGAACGGGTAGTACACCGGGTACATGGCGGGCAGCCTGGGGGGAACAGGGGGAGGGGGAGGGGAGGGTGGCCGTTGAGTGAGAAAGTGAGAATGAATAGACGAGAATAAGGGAGTGAGAGCGAGCGAGAAAGAGTGAGAGAGAGCGAGAGAGTGTGAGAGGGGGAGATATTGAGGCGGTACTAGGATGGAGAGAAGGAAATTCTGTGCATGCGTAACGCTTCTAAAAGCCACATACGCGTGGATGCCGCATTTCCCGCGCACGTCGGGCGTCATGGCGAGGTACATTTAGCCGCCGTCGCCCCACGTGCTGAACCACGTGTTCTTGATGATCCAATAGCTGCCCGCGAGGCCGGGCCCCGTGTAGTTGTATCCGACCACGACGACCACGTGGTTCACGTTCGTCGTGCACAGCCCCGGCAGCTCGGGCGAGCCGTAGATGCGCAGGCGGTTGCGCGACGTGTAGTTCTGGAAGTCGCGCTCCGAGCCGCTGAGGAAGGCGACGACGGGCTGCATGCTGACGGCCTTCATCAGCGCCAGCGCGCTGTACGCCGGCACCAGCTCCCACCCCGTGATCTGCGGCGGGAAGAGGGGAGGGAGACGGGGGGGTTGTGGAAGGGGAAAGGACGTGCGCGCAGTGAGTGTGTTGATCCGCAACACACGCCTACTGCAGCGGACGTGCGCCACTCCTGCGCATCGCACTGCGAGCTACAAGCGAGTGATGCTAAGCAACGGGCAACGACGCGGGCCGACAGTATACGGTGCTCCGCAATAGCGAGCGGAGCGGAGCGCAAGGGCGTACCTTGGCGGCGGTGGGCGCGGAGACGTTGAGGCTGCAGACGGTGCTGTCCTGCGCCTGGTACGCGTAGTCCTCCTCCGCCTGGATGCCCCCGTTGAACAACACGTACGAAAACGCCCAGTCCGCCCACCCGCCGTTGCAGCACTGCTTCGTCGCACAGTCGCACACCTGCGACGCGCGCGACGAGAAAAGACGAAACGAGGTTAAGCCGACAGCGAGGAGTCCGAGCTTGGCGGCAGTGAAATTACAAGCAAGCACGGGCGCGATGAAAAAGGAAGCAGCGGCACCGCCGTTATCGCTGTCGTCGCACGCACCTGCTGCGGCGACAGAACGATGGGATCTGTTTTGGTGGTGATGGCCCACATCATGGAGATGGAATCGACGGCTGCGATCGCCCAGCAGCTCGCGCACTGCCACGGGGAGACGAGCAGAAAACGACGGGAAAAGGAGGGGAGCGAAGACGCGCGAGCCACCTGAATTGAAGCACGAAGACGAGCCTACGGTCACGAGCATCGCAACTCGTTTCTCTGTGGCAGGTTCGACACGCTCGCTCGCTAAATCACAAACGACATTCAAATGCGGCGGTTGGTTACGAGGTGCACCTCAAATTGGCGCTGAATGGGCGAGATGTATCGGGTCTGGCGCCAGTCGACGAACGCCTTGGGCGACACGGAGTCCCAGCGGAAGAAGGTGCCGTTGACGTCCGCCATGCTCGGCCCCGAGTTCAGCGCCGGCGGCGTCAGCCCCACGTCACGCCCCTTCATGCCGCCCTTCAGCTGCCGTCGCGCACCCTCGTCGTCACCCTCGTCTTCGCCGTCGTCGTCGAGCGACGGGTCGTCGAGCATGGCGTCGCGGAGCGCCCTCGCGTGGAGTTGCACCTTGGCCTCGTCGCTCATTGCAAGGGTCTCCGCCATGGCCTGCTCGAACCGCGCTGGTTGGGGGGCTGTGGCTGCGTCGGCAAGGCGCTGGAACGGCGAGAGGAAGAGGGAAAGGAGTAGTACTAGCATGCTGTGATAATGAGCCATTGTTGCGGCGAGGAGACTACGCGAGAGACGAATGGTGTATGAATTTTCTAAAGAACAAGGCCAACAGTTTTTATCAGGAGAACGTCAACTTCCGTATCAACGCTTCTCGAGGTCTACTCACTCCAGGCAGAGAAGTCTGGGAGCTTCTTGCTCTGAAGTGCAGAACGGAAGGGTGACATGCGTTTCACTTGGCTCAATCGTGAATGCGGTTGCTTTCACTTGGGTGCGTTGCGTTGCCTTCATCCAGGCCCCGCCACGATAAGCCAGCCAAACCCTCAACACCATCGACCCTGTTTGTGTTGGAGTATGCCCTTCCTTTCAACAGCGTGATGGCTTCTGGATCCGTATTTCAATCGTAGGCATCTAGAAAGCTTATACCTTACACGTAAACAGCCCCCTCCGAACTGTGTACTGCTGTCTGCAGTACAAAGGAGAATTCAGTCGAATACCGCCTCTCATGGGAGGAACAGAAAACAGTTAGGGTGTGGGCCCAATCGAGTTTGAACGCGATTGATCTGATCGGGTCGGATATCATCGGGCTGCTTGTGATCGCAGTGCCCGAGCCGCCCGTTCAGTGATGTTTTTCGAAAAATATTTCCAACGCCTGCGGAGCAAGCGCTATACATTTATGTCGCATTTTCGTCCCCATTTCTTGCGAGATTGGCGACAGTATGTCACCAGGAAAAAGTTTTCGTGTCCCTGAAATTTTAACAGTGTAACTGCTCGCAAGCGTCGCTGTGGGCCTCGATCACATGCAATCAGGTAATCGCCTGTGATCGAGGAAAAGCGACTTTGATCGGGGTGAAAATCGGGTCAGATTGAGTTGGGGCGATCAGTTGATCGCGATCAGCTTATTGCCCCTGATTGCATAAAATTGGCTTCCAGGCTTCCTAGAAATTGTTGATAGCATGTGATCGAAGCGATCAAACTCGACTGCAAACCCGTCCTGGCCGTCTCCTCCACTCGAGTCCTTGCTTCCCTCCACTCTCTCTCCATCCCTCACCCCCAACCCGCGCCACCAAAGAGAGCGCTGTATATGGTAGTTCAAAGAAAGTGTTGCATTGTGCGGTCGCTAGGCCACACCTCGCTCTTAAATCTTTCAGAACCTTTCAAATCAATAACGTGCCTTTCATAAATCGCATGATATTGTTCCACTAAACTCATAAGATCTTTGAATAGTACCCTGATTCGCCATCTGTGACTCGGCCTCTCCAAGACGAAACCTGAGGGCTGGAGTGACGAGTCAAGAGCCCTGTCACAACACTTCCAGTCAGACGCCACAGTGCAACAGCAAGCAATGCCGCACTGACTACGAAGTGGGCAAACCCAATATTTGGAAGGGCGGAATCACACAGGCCTAAATCGAAAATGAAACAGCCCTAGCTAGCAAGATGAGGACCCCGAGTTATTCCACTATTCCACTTCCATGTACCTTAATCGGGTTATTTTGGTGCCGAGGCACTTCGGTCAGACTCTATGATCTTCTGCCTACAAACGAAGTTTAGCCGAGGCACTTCGGCTTGAACTGCATCCACAGCCACAAACCACTCGTACAACACTGTACTCTACACTCATGGAACAGCTCGTGTCAGGGAACCTGGTGCGGGGTGCTAACGGACAACCAGGTGTTTGTTGTTGCCAAAATTTGAGGGATGTTTGCATACGGGCTAAACTTTATAACATCTGGAAGAAACTGGTACGAGTCCTAAAAAAACAGAACTCGCATTTGAGAGGACTGTAGCAAAGCCTAAACTACGAGAACAAGCAGTAAGTCCAACATGTGTTTTTCTTGCATATCAATGTCTAGCGTCTCTGCCCGGGGGAGCCAAATGTGTTTATGATTGATTGTTTGTCCCCTTCTCCTCCAGCTGGCCGACTTTAGGGATGAAGATGTAGTGGCGCTATCCGACACATTTACAAGCTGTATCTAGTTCGCAGACTGGTCGGGGTCTGCCGTTTGCCCACCTACTTTGTGAGACAGGTTCAGGTGATTCATTCGACTGCAAAATCCAAAATCGGCATCCGTACGGATACACATGATGCCCATTTCAGTCCCCTTCCCCATCTTTCCTTGTGCTCCTCTCTCGAGCATGCGTTCACTAGGGGCAGAATGGGACTGAATGTGGAACAAAGGTTGACAAAAAAACTACAGTTGCGGAAATTGTGGGTAGCCCAGCGTGTTTTGTCTGGGAAACTCCAACATCTTGGTTTTGTCGTGGGCTAGTAACGCGCGGGCCGTTGGCTGTGAATGTCGACCACTGGGCGTATGGAGTGGCAGCGGGCGTGTTCAGAGTGGGCGGTTGAGTGAGCACTAGGGTGTATTCGACATATGAAAGCTGGTTCAGATAAAGTCTTGTCAGTACCTACAAGACGGTGCGAAAACACATGCAAACGCTTAATTGTCTATGTGGCCTACGTGAAGAACATTGAAGTCGTCACAAAGTTTCTAACAGTGCTTAATGTGGAGAATTGTGGCGCTACAAGCCTTCTGTAAGTTATGAGGGCATACCTTCAGTTTGTTAGGATCACCAGGCGAAGCGGATAGTGTTGGAGTGGTGATTTGAGGGTGAAGCTGCCTTGTTGCATTCTCAAGAGCAAATTCCTCACCATGTTCCTTGCCACTGCATAGTGTTACGATCCCACGGGAGACCTAGCCAAGATCACTTCGGGTTGTTCGCTCGCACGTCATTGACGAAGAAATATCGCAGCGCGATGTGCTTGGTGCGATTCGCGAATCCTGTCTTGTTCGCAATTCTTATCGTGTTCTAGTTGTCGTGGTGCACGCAAAAGCGTTGGCGAAGTTGAAAGTTTTTCCTCCTGCAGGAGCTCTTGCAGATAGAGCCCTTCGCACACCGCTACTTTAGCGGCATTGGACTCTGCTTTCGTAGATGGCAGGACAACCAATTCCTGTTAAAACATATTTGTATTAACTTGTCTAGGCTATGTAGGGGCTACCCTTAGGGGGTACAGGACTCACCTCAACACTCTTGTTTGTACCCCATCCTAGACCTAACTCATCACCTTTCTCCTAAGTCTCTTAACATGGTATAGAGCAGGTCCTTCTAAGGACCGTTCTTTTTAGGGCCCACCAGTTAGGTTTTATTTTTTCTGCCTGAATCTACTGCCCTGCCTAACACTTTCGAACTGCCCTACTCTGACATGCCGCGCGCAGCCTGTACAGCCCACGCACACCCCGCGCGCAGCTAGTACACAGCCTGCGCCCACGCTCTGGTCGCACTAGTCATCGTGTTCCTCGTGAGCGTCCTCCTCCTGACCCCGGCACGCACACTATGGCACTTCGTCCTTCCTCTGTTCCACAACGTGTTCCCCTGCCGTCTCCTCCTGCGTCCTCTCTTCCGCACGTTTTCGGACCCTGAGTCTGACCTAGTTCGTGCTGCCAGTCCTAATGTTACGCGTCTCTTAGCCACTGCTGTCGTTGACCCTTCGTTTGAGTCTGGTGCTGCGTCTGCCTTGGTCGATCAGCTTGTTGACTTTGCTGCTGCTTGTCGTCTCGACTGAGCCGCTAGTCTTGTTGCTGAGTCTGAGTCTGTCTGTCCTCCCTTCGTCGGGGGTGAGTGTGCTCTTGGCACGGACGTCCTTGAGGACAGGCAAGAGGACTTTGAAAGTCTTGCAGCCGCTGCACCTCATCTCGTGGCCATGCTGCTTGCCCCTGAGGGAGACCCGGATGCACCAGACATCCCGACCCCGCGTTCTTACGCTGAGGCGATCGCGGGTGAGTACTCCTTTCAGTGGCAGACAGCCATGGACGCAGAGATGGCATCCTGGAAGTCCACAGGCACCTACGTCGACGCAGTTCCCCCTCCTTGGGCGAACGTAGTCGATGGCATGTGGATTTTCAGGGTGAAGCGGCCGCCGGGTTCTTCGTGTGTCCTCAAGGCTCGTTACATTGCACGAGGCTTCAGTCAGCGACAGGCAGTTGACTTCTTTCAGACCTTCTCCCCTACCCCGAAGATGACCACTCTTCGGGTGCTGCTGCACCTTGCTGCACATCGTGACTACGAGCTTCACTCTCTTGAGTTCAGCACATCTTTCCTTCAGGGCAGCCTGCACGAGGAGATCTGGCTGCGCCGCCCACCTGGCTTCAATGGGTTGTTTCCTGCTGGTACCCAGCGGAGCCTCCAACGGCGAGTCTATGGTCTCTGCCATGCGCCTTTGTGAGTGGCACGACGGAATGAGGACGGCACTTGCGGCACTTGGGTTTGCTTCTTCGACTGACTCGTCGCTGTTTCTCCGCACCGACACTTCGTTGCCGCCGTTCTACATCCTCGTGTACGTCGACGACTTGGTCTTTGCCACTCGTGACACTGAGGCATTCGCCCACGTGAAGTCGGAGCTGCAGACGAGACACACGTGCACAGACCTGGGTGAGCAGCGCAGCTGTCTTGGCTTGCGGATCACCCGGGACAGAGCACGACGCGCCATCACCCTGACTCAGTCACACATGATGCAGCAGATCCTTCAGCGTTTCGGCTTCAGTTGGTCCTCGCCACGGTGCACTCCTCTAGCTACAGGTCACTCGCTCTCAGCTTCACCTTCGGACGAGTCAGTAGAGCCGAGTGGCCCGTACCGAGAGCTAGTGGGCTGCCTTATGTACCTGATGACCTGCACTCGTCCCGACCTTGCATACCCTCTTGGCCTTCTGGCACGCTACATGGCTCCTGGTAGGCACCGAAAGGTGCACTGGGATGCTGCGAAGAGGGTACTCCGTTACTTGTGCAGTACATCGGGCATGGGGCTCGTGCTTGAAGGGCCGGGTCTAGTTGTCCTCACTGGACACTCAGACGCTTCGTGGGTTGAGGACCTGGCTACGCAGCATGTCAGAACATATAGCTTGTGCATATTGTGTAGGCTATAGTGGGGTAGCCCATAAGGGGTACAACCCAATTAGGGTTAGTACATGTACTCAGTTCATTCATAGTTCATTCATTCTCGTTTCTTCTCATGGTATCGAGCAGGTTCCCTAACGGGAACGATTCCTA